GCGAGTTTCCCGTGAGTTTTATTTTCTATTTATTTCCGAACTCTTCGTCGAAAACCACTCAGGATTGCTCGTTTACCGACGATGCAGAATTTTCGTGACACCTTGTAGCTGTGCAACTTAACAAAACCGATAGTTTTTCCTATTCACAAATAAAGAAACGCTGGCTTATTTTTAGAAAACATACTTTCCCGAAAAAGTAATATAATTTACACTTTACAATCAATCGAGAATCATTATTCAAGTATTCGTTTAATAGAATCGGAAACAAGCTGCGTTAATTGTGTCGTTGAGTAAATGCGGATTGAATACTCTTACTATGTTTGATTCTTTTTTATCATTGACAATGGCAGCAATATTGTAAATTCAATTGAATCCAATAAAGATTGAAGAAAGAATAAGTGTGAAATCCGATTGAATAATCACCCGACTCGCGACGTAATATTCGGGTATATAATATCCGAATATTATAGATTTTAGAGTTTCCGAGTCGATCTAAGCACTACCCCTACTTCTTAACACGCTGATTTTGCATGTCTGGACGCTAACATGACTCTATCATTATGTGAACATTATCTGCAACAGATAAGTTGAAGTATATAAACATGTTTGATGAATTTATTTTAGAAATAGTGAATATTGCACCTTGGAAAACTAGTTACTTCTCATCAAAATCGAATAAAGATCCTGGCAGATAGTGAATAATTTATTTCACGAAATAACAAACTCGTCGTTTAACTGCAAATAAATTAATTTAATTTTTATACGAAATACTTGTCATGTGCTAATTATTACATACTTAATAATATATAACAATATATTCAATCATACCAAATGATGTAATTTTACAAACAGTATTATTTCTAAAATAATTACTAATATTACAGATTATTTCTAAAATATTTACTAATTATTGCTTACTCTAAAATAATTACTAATATTACAGATTATTTCTAAAATATTTACTAATTATTACTTACTCTAAAATAATTACTAATATTACAGATTCTTATTCTAAAATAATTACTAATATTACAGATTATTTCTAAAATATTTACTAATTATTACTTACTCTAAAATAATTACTAATATTACAGATTCTTATTCTAAAATAATTACTAATATTACAGATTATTTCTAAAATATTTACTTATTCTAAAATAATTATTACTTATTCTAAAATAATTACTAATATTACAGATTATTTCTAAAATAGTTACTAATTATTACTTATTCTAAAATAATTACTAATATTACAGATTATTTCTAAAATATTTACTAATTATTACTTATTCTAAAATAATTACTAATATTACAGATTATTTCTAAAATATTTACTAATTATTACTTATTCTAAAATAATTACTAATATTACAGATTATTTCTAAAATATTTACTAATTATTACTTATTCTAAAATAATTACTAATATTACAGATTATTTCTAAAATATTTACTAATTATTACTTATTCTAAAATAATTACTAATATTATAGATTCTTATTCTAAAATAATTACTAATATTACAGATTATTTCTAAAATATTTACTAATTATTATTTATTCTAAAATAATTATTACTTATTCTAAAATAATTACTAATATTGCAGATTATTTCTAAAATAGTTACTAATTATTACTTATTCTAAAATAATTACTAATATTACAGATTATTTCTAAAATAGTTACTAATTATTGCTTAATAATACATAACAATATATTCAATCATACCAAATGATATAATTTTACAAACAGATTGTTTCTAAAATAATTTTAAAACGTTTATTTGAAAATCTTTCAATTTTCACTCAGTCTAGATAGCGTTCAGATTTTCAAGTGGACACGGTTCGACGTTGAAGCGAGCAAGGCTTAGAAAATCAGCGAGCGAAGGGATCTACGCTCGCTAATTAGTTTTTTCGAGTTACCCATAATCTCCCTGTAAACGGAAGTGAAACCATATTTTGTTGATTCTTGGCGTAAAGTTAGTCGACCGTTACAACGTTAAGCTGACGTTGTTGTTGTTGTTGTTGTTGTTGTTGTTGTTGTTGTCGTCGTCGTCTTGGAGAGGAAGAAGAACCGGCGCGGGTTCGGAGGTCCGGAGAATATAAAGGAGTTGCAGCAGCACCGTTACCAGTTTTCTTTGCCATTAAAACTTGGTCGAGCGGGGGAGTGGTTGCCACGTCGTGATGCAGCGTTTTCGCGACACGCTCCCCAAACATGCGATTATTTATCTGATAATTACTCCGGCATCAACAAAATCAATTAAGCTGGATATAACCTGTTTACTTTAACGAGGTGGCTCGCAGGTGGTTGCAATTTATTTGCTTTTTATCGCCGGTGCCAATTTGAGTTTCGAGACGAGAGCTCCGGGCACTCGTTACTTCTGCATCCGTCTGCGTATATTAAAATGTAAATTATACGTGATTAAGTGTTATTACGTTTCTTCACCACGCTTCGCTTGATCATTGTTTGTCGCGTCTACGGCAAAATTGCGTTCCCCATGAAATTAGCAAGCGTTCGAAGGAAAAGAAAGGGTTGCAACGTTACAAACGTACATACGTGTAAATATGATAGATCACTTTTTTTCTTCAAATTTTAATACATTTTAAATATAATCAATGTCTGGAAAAAGAAATATTTATGAATGTAAATGCGTGTAAATTTACAATGTTGCAAACGAAAAGGAAATTAAAAAAATAATTGTAGATTTACAAACATTTCGTGCAAAAGAATATCAGATGACCCAGGTAAAAAATACATATATAAAATATATAAAAATACATAAAAGTACATATTTAATCCATGTTAAAAATATTTCGCGGTCTGTTCAAGTGATTTTGAAACACAGTTGAAAATATGAGTCAATTTTTATTTTGTTACCGAAACACCTTATAATTTCCGGACACTGAGATCTGGATGGTGTTTTAAAAACATATTTAGTTAATTATATCGAGCTAATATATTTTTCTTTTTCTGAATTCATGATTTCTCTCCCAATTTTCAAAATAACCTCTTGCGCTGGAATGACGTGTCACGCACGTCGAGAATATTTTCTCAGTTTTAAGTATATTGAAATATAACCCAGGCAAAACAGATAATAAATTTATTACTTCTTAATCATTTCTATCCAGTGATATACCGACAAGTTCAAAAGAAAAAGGAAGAGATAAATTATTGTGTACGGTTCGGTCACTCGTTATGGTCCGCAATCAGTTGCCAGCGCAAGAGGTTAAGTACCAAACTTTCGATAGTCTGGCAGGCGAACCTAATCTAAACACTGTATCAACACTCTGTATTCTAAAAAAAAAAAAAAAAAAAATCGTCACTTTTTGGTGAAACGTTAGAAAATTATAATTTTACAATATAAACAGAAAATTTCTAAGAATATATGTACGTATTATAAATAACTCTTATTTTTCAAAAATGTAAACGAATAAAGCTTGTGATAAAGATACAATATACCGTACTAAATCAGGCTGAAAATTGACAATCGATGTAACACGTTAGAGAGAAGTATCACAGATTAATCAATGAATTAATGAAGTAAGAATATCTTGTGTAGACAGAAACATTAGACACTTACAATGCGATCTTGACTACTTTCAGACCGTATCTCTTTACGTTTTCGTCAATTCGACTCGCTCGACTTGCTCCACAATATCCAGCGAGAAGCTTTTTACAGTGTCGTTTTCCTCGGTAGCGGTGATGAACGTTCGCTCCCAAGGAATGTTTACGTGAGCTCTCTCTCCCTCTTTGCTCCTCTTTTTCTCTCTCTCTCTCTCTCTCTCTCTCTCGTTTCTCGGCCCGATGGTTTAACATAATGTACGACGCGAGGCGACGCATCATCTTTGGCCATTAGCCAGTGACGGTGCATCCGTTGACAGGAAATTGAAACTGCGCTTTAGCCGAACCGGCGACTGCATCGATATTATACGCGCCAAACAAGCTGTTAATCGCTGTCATTCCGCCATCACGTACGCTTTAACGAGGGTAACGAATCACCGCTATCGAAACCGTTCGCCGTAACTGTTCCCCAAACCGCGTGAAATATGTTTCCAGTTACACGCGAAACACACGCGGGGCGGCTTTGTATTTTACCCGGGCTGTCGCGAGTTTTTTCCTCCCTTCCCCCATACTTTCGCCATAAATCTGCCGGCTGGTTTGCGTCGATGAGCAAACGTGGGACGAGGGGAGACAGAGGGAGGGGGAAGGGGCCGAGGCAGGCAGGTAGCTAATTCTAAATGCGGTTTCGTCACGAAGTTGTTATTTGTCGCGTTGTTGTCCGGGACGCGCTTGCAAGGGACCAGCAGAAACGTTGCGCGCTACCTTTGACCGAAATTAGACCGAGAAACACGGCTGAAACGTGGAGAGTAACGAACGAAACGGAACGACTGTCGAAAGTCAGAAACTGACTGAGTCGAGCTTCGTTACGAGCTTCTCGTAAATTGTTAAAAAGCAACGGCGCGAAAAGGCCCGCGGTTAACACATTCCGTGCATTTTCGGGGTTGATCTTTGGTTACTTTCGCGTATACGCTATTACGATTGATAGTTTTGCTTCTGAAAGTCTTGCAATTTTTATAATAGCGGAGAAAACGTAATCATCGAGAAAAATTCAAGATGCATTGCAGAGCAAAACAGTAAATTTAATTTCAAGGCATCGTTGATTAACAAACACGTGGCTGAACGTTTACTCCATCACATTTTATTCCAGATATTTTTTGTATTGTTGTTTGTGTTGCAACAATACTAAATGATGATAAGTAATATTGAATAACAATAATTTATTATATAAATTATATAATGCTGTACTTATAATGCTGATTATATAAATTATATATAATAATACTATACAATAAATGATATTAAATAATAATAATTTGTTTACAATCACTTGTCTGTAAAATTTTAAAGTAACAGTAACAATTAAGCTTATTTCATCACTTTTGCACGAAAATATTAAGTGAAACGGTTAAAATATGGCGGTTACTGTGTGCATGTCGTTTATATGACGTCTAATGACGTCATCCGTAACAAGTATTCATTATTCAATTTGCCGCCAGATGGCATAATTCGTAGACGAAGGTGTTGAGATGTCGACACACGACAATTTAATTTTAAAAAAAAGTTCTCTGTTTCACAATTTCAAATTCCAAATGGTTTGAACGTCTCACGCGCTCACGCATGTAACAATAACATCGAACAACAACAGATAGAACAACTTAACGAGGACATTCTTTTGCAGATTTGCCGAGTTTCGTGCAGCCAATCGGTAATGTGACCGCGGCCATTGGCAAGGAGGCGATTCTACCGTGCACGATCCGGAAACTAGGAAACCACAAGGTAAGAGATTTAACGTTTGCATGGAGGGAAAGAGGAAAACAAGAAAAAAGGAGGGAAGGAAGGTAGGAAGGGAGCTACGATGCGCTCGTAGAGCGTTAACCCCTTGCGCTGGCAACCGGTTCGCGGACCATAACGAGTGACCGAACCGTACACAACAATTCGTCGCTTTCTTTTTCGTTTGACTTTTCTTTTCAACTCGCCGGTATGATATCATTGGATAGAAATTATTAAGAAGTAATAAACGTATCATTCGTTTTGCCTGGGTTACATTTAAATATAATATATAAATAATACTAATAATAATATTATTATATAATATAATACTATATAATATAATATATAATACTATATAATGTAATATATAATACTATATAAATAATACTATAATACTAATATAAAATATTTAAAACTAAGAAAATATTGCAATTTGGGACAAAAAAAACTCTTGACGTGCGTGGCACGTCATTCCAGCGCAAGAGGTTAACTGATTGCGGACCGTAACGAGTGACCGAACCGTACACAATAATTCGTCGCTTTCTTTTTCGTTTGACTTTTCTTTTCAACTCGCCGGTATGATATCATTGGATAGAAATTATTAAGAAATAATAGACGTATCATTCGTTTTGCCTGGGTTACATTTAAATATAATATATAAATAATACTAATAATAATATTATTATATAATATAATACTATATAATATAATATATAATACTATATAATGTAATATATAATACTATATAAATAATACTATAATACTAATATAAAATATTTAAAACTAAGAAAATATTGCAATTTGGGACAAAAAAAACTCTTGACGTGCGTGGCACGTCATTCCAGCGCAAGAGGTTAACTGATTGCGGACCGTAACGAGTGACCGAACCGTACACAATAATTCGTCGCT